ATAGATTTTTCTTTTATGCCAAAAATCATTAGGATATTAAGTAAAGATCATGTTCCATGAAGATATTTTGTAAATCTCCTACCGTAAATATATCAAAACTTAATTTTTGATTAGTAATATGCATTGCTAAGAACTTCATTTGGACAACTTTAAAGATGATTTTCTCAATATTTAGATTTTTTTGCACCCTCAGATTCCAGATTTTCAAATATTGTCCTATCCTAACAAACCATACATCAATGAAAGCTTATTTATTCAGCTTTCAGATGATGCATACATCTCAATTTCGAAAAATTGACCCTTATGACTGGTTTTGTGGTCCAGGGTCACATATTATTTTAATTTATCATATTCATAAACTCACTGGTTTGTAGCGCAAAACGTTTTACTAGGGGTGTAACAAAACGCTCTCGCACGATTGATTAAAATAAATTAATTTAAAAAAAGATTAAAAAATAATAAATAAAAATAGAGTAAATTAGATTAAAAAATACAATTAAAATAAATAAATAAATACAATTAAAATAATTACATCAATTAAGAACACATCTGGTAATATTGTCAGTATAAATAGAATAGTGTAACTTATTAGAAACTAAATATTTTCCAATAATATAACAGTTTGAGACATGATACTGGTCTCACAATATGATACTCTCGCAATAGAGTTAATACGGTCAGTTTTTTAATTATTACTTGATAAACAGTTAACAAAGTACTGTTCATTAACCAGAATAGAAATATTGATGATTCTGCTTAGCTAAAAATACAGAATTATGTACATGGGTCAAAGACGAAAAAGGGTTTAAGCATAAAAACAATAAGTGTAATACTGCTTTAAATTGTTTCCCAAGAAAAATTGAAAAAAATTTCCGTTTAATTTAATTGCAATTTTGTTTTTGTTTTTCTGAGCAAAAAATAAATATCATAAATTTTTCCCTGATTTACAGAAGACACCCACTAAAATATCATTCAGTGTAACATTCTTGTCAGGCATATTTACAACAAAAATCAATTTATGACATATTAAAAGACTAATTACTTTCACCCCAAATACTAAATAGTTGTAATTTTACACTTTTAAAATGTTCCACTATCCTAGGTTTTGCCCATTTGTCAGTAAGATTTTTTTTTACTCATTTAAAACACAATAAAATTTAATATGCTCTCTTATTCTTTTATATATTTTAATATGTACATGTCAGAATAAGCATGTTGTTTGAATTTTTACAAAAATATTGTGTTACACTGAATGACAACGTAACATTATTTCAACCAAATTTTGACATTTTATTCTCCAAAAACGTATTTGAAACCTTAAAAGTAGACTCTTTACTTTCTATGGACATAAAATCACTTTTGTAAATTTCTTTTGATGCGGACATCTTAACGTCTTCGACCCACATACATTTAAATATTGTATTTTATTAAATAATGTGTTTTATTTTTAATTGGGCATGGACGCTTTTGGGTTCGCCATATTTGATGCACTCTTTGTATGTGAATTATAATTTATATGCGAGTAAAATCCTAAATGAAATCTGTCTAAACTTAATTTTTTGGGTGAACTATACACGATACTTATTGTTGCATTTTTGCATTGTGATGTTTTGTGACACGATATATAGTTACAGCCCTACTGTTTACTGCACTTTATTATTCTTCTGGTTATTTGCCTGTATAGTCTCGCACACTCACAGAAAATCATGGAAGCCCGTTTCTGCCACGGAATTAAAAAAAAGATAATTGCGACATTTTATTTCACAATTCGGACTTTGTTTCTGTGCAATTTTGAGAAAAAGTAGTCAGAATTGCAAGATAAAACGTCGCACTTTCCTTTTTTTATTTTTTATTTTGTGGTGGAAACAAAAAAAAAACAGAATTGAAAGATGTAAACTCAGAATTCAGGGAAAAAGTAAGTATTGTGAAAGTCAAAATATTGAGATATAAACTCACCAGAATTCAGAAACATTTCCATGATGGAAACAAAAATGCTCCACCTTTCAGTCGGTCTTCCAGAGAGAGATCTGGACTTACACAAAACACTTGGGATGGATTCATTTGGTTTATTTGTTTGCTTTTTTTACTGAACAGCTTCATGTTTGTGTTTGGGATCCCTGGAAAACTGCTAAATTAAATGTAAACAATCAGTTCAAGCTTCAGGTTACAGATAATAAAATAACTGAAAATATAAGAATGAACTGTCAGAATTAAGGTGTATTACAGTATTTAAAATGCTTTATATCAAGTGAAGATGTTCCTATCACAGAAAACACCTATCAGAGCCACATGACGGATGATTAGGAGTCATAAAAACTTGCGGTGAATGGAGTTTAAAGCTACACTCTGTTTAAGTGCTGATCAAATCGGTGCTAAATCTTGCAGCCTTATTAGCTAGATTATAGATATAAGCAGAATACTCACCAGGGGCATAGCCATCATTTCAGAAGTGAGGGGGACAGAAATGTTATATATATACATTACAATATAACATTTCTGTTATATATTCTGTAGTATACACTCTACCATTCAAAAGCTTAGAGTCAGTATAATTTTTTTTTTTTTTTTTAATACACGTGTTTTTTAAAAATGTGGCTAAAGGAAAATCTAAGCTGGTGTGAGTCATGACAGCGCAGTCAGCCAGAATTCAGATTCAGGAAAGCATCTGTCCAGCTTCTGCTCTTGAGCAGCATGAGTCCGTCTGTGGTTTGATGCTATACTTAGTTCTGCACGAGATGTGTCGAAACACGTCTGGCTTTCCAATGGATTTAGTTTGTGAACTGCGGAGTACTGAAGTATGAGTGAAATGAAAGTTTTGTCATGTTTACTCATTCAAATCTTCATGCATCTCTCTCTCTTGCATGCTATTCAAAATGAACATGAAAGTTGAACAAAAATGGTTACATATTTTTGGCTTAATTACACTTTTCCTTGACATTCTGAAGTGTTCTTGGAAGATTCTTGTTGAACATTATCTTTTGTACTCCACAAAATGGTTTTGGACAGATTTTTGGATTTTAGGGTGAACTATTCTTTCAAAATTGATTAAATACTAAATGTTTTCATTTATTTTTCACATTTATTTTCCTCTTTTTTTTCCACAGGAGAGAGGAGGCTGATCAGTGGAAAGCTGATGTTTTATATTATGCAACATGACAACATGACATGAAGCATCCTGAGATATGTTGTGCAAATCTGAGAATACTGCATATTTCTTTTGTATTTGTCTTATGTCTTAAAATCTTTAAATATTCTGGGGTTTTTTTGGGTTGTATGCCACAGAATTATATGAAATTGAAGCATTGATTTATATGAATTTATATGAATCATTTTTTCAAAAAAATTAGAGATTTTTGTTTTTGTCAAATTAAGTGTGATTTGTCCAACCAATGAAAAAAGGTTTACTAGTAGTAAATGATTTAAAAATGTAAAATATCTATCTATCCTCTGTCTGTCTGTCTGTCTATCTATCTATCTGTCTGTCTGTCTATCTATCTGTCTGTCACAATAAAAGGCCACTCTAAAATGTGCAGTTTTATCACACAGCACAATGCCACAGATGTCGCAAGTTTTGAGGGAGCGTGCAATTGGCATGCTGACTTCAGGAATGTCCACCAGAGCTGTTGCCCGTGAATTGAATGTTCATTTCTCTACCATAAGCCATCATCAATGTTGAAAACAGTCGTGCTGCACAATATTTTTGTGGAAACAAATTGTGATATGAATTTTTTTTTTAGGATTCAGAAATACAGCATTTATTTTAAAAACATATTTTGTAACTTTATAAAAGTCCTTACTGTCACTTTTGGTCAATTTAATGCATCCTTTGTAGAATATAAGCACTAATTACTTTTTTTTTTAAATCTCAAACTTTTGAATGGTTGTGCATCATGGTTACAACATTGATAATAATCTGAAATGTTTCTCGAGCAGCAAATCAGCATATTATTATGATTTCTGAAGATCATGTGACACTGAAGACTGGAGTAATGATGCTGAAAATACAGCTAATATATTACATTTTAACATATATTCACACAGAAAACAGCTATTTTAAATTGTAATAATGTTTCACAATATTACTGTTTTACTGATCAAATAATGGTACTGTATTATTTTTATTAATCAATGTCTGTGTTTGTGTGTTGTTTATCTAGTGAGCGTCCTTGAGCCCTGGAAAGGCGCTATATAAATAAAAATTATTATTATTATTGTGATATAAGTATGGGTTTATCATCATAATATAAAGTTTATAAACTTCAGCTCCCCCTGCTGGAGGCTGTACTGCAGTACCGCTGTGTATTGTGCGCCTGCGCAGTAAGTCATCATGAGTTGTAGTGGGCGGGGTTTGTGTGAGCGGCTGCGAGCCGCGTCAGATCCGCTATGAGTGTAGATGGGTGTGTGAGACTCCGATACCCCGCAAACCGCTCAAAATAAGTCAGTTATGACCACAGAGCTTATGAATGTCGTTTCATGTCTTCGGTGTGAAGCTGTAATGTTTTTGTTCTGTTTTTCCACAGGTGTTGGCAAAAGCAGTTTACTGCTGAGATTTGCTGATAACACATTTTCAGGTAGGATCAACACGTCACATGTGCTTTTAACAAACGGGGAACAGGCCTCGGCTCGCTTAGAGCGACACTTACATGAGCCAGAACCTCTTCAGATGCGTTATTTGTGCTGGATTTACACGTAACACAGACACTGATTAATCTGACTGCTTATAACTGACATTTGATGAGGTCGAGAGGGATGTTGTTTCTGATTTAGCTCATGTAATGGGCCTGTCAACAGTTTAGAGTCATTCAGTCTGGGTCTGTTCTTAAATTCTTTTTTATTGTCTAATAAAGTAAGATATTAATATGTTACGTTGCCTGGCATGTTTGTTGAATTTTCTGTGACAGAATTGATGTATAAACAAACTTAGTATTTATCATGTCAGCCTGGGATCTATTTATTGAATGCTGAAATGTTGTACTGATAGTCTTCGGTGTGAAGCTGTAATGTTTTTGTTCTGTTTTTCCACAGGTGTTGGCAAAAGCAGTTTACTGCTGAGATTTGCTGATAACACATTTTCAGGTAGGATCAACACGTCACATGTGCTTTTAACAAACATTAACCGTGAAAGAAGTACTAAGGGTTCGTAGTTATAGAAGCCAGAGATCTAGTATCTCGTGTATATGAATTGAGCTGCTGGAGGTCATGCTGACTTCTACAATCCTGCCAACAGCTGCACAGTAATTGCTGGTTAATGTAATAAAGCTTACAGTAATACTAGCAAATTTATGACTTATGGTAATAAAATCAGCAGGCTTGTAGTTGCCCTCTCCATTACGGCTTATTTCCAGGAGTGTTTTGTGATTTTTTTACGCTGATTTGTGTGTGTTGTTGCAGGCAGCTACATCACTACGATCGGTGTGGACTTCAAGATTCGCACGGTGGAGATCAACGGGGAGAAAGTCAAGCTGCAGATTTGGGATACAGCGGGACAGGAGAGATTTCGGACGATCACCTCCACGTGAGTGACACGTTAAAGCTGCCTCCTGTTTCTGTTGAATTTTAGGACGCTTTCTTTTTAGTGCAATTATCAAATGAAGAATTCTTCAAATCTCAAAGGTTTCAGAGTGAAGCGCGGCACTGTGTTCATTTACACGTGAGCAGCGGTGTTTCTCAGAGCCTCGTGATTCACTGTCAGTGATCCTCATGAAGTCCATCTGCATCTGAGTTTGAGTTGCTTTAATTTGGAAACATTTCACAAACGAATTATGAGAACAAAAGAAGGTTTAAGGGCTTCCTGCAGGTTTGCATTAAAATAGACATTTGATGGTTTAATGTTTGAAAATGAAGAAATTATAACAATCAAAAGTTTTTGCAAATCAGCATATTAGAATGATTTCTGAAGGATCGCGTGACACTGAAGACTGGAGTAATGATGCTGAAAATACAGCTAATATATTACATTTGAACATATATTCACATAGAAAACAGCTATTTTAAATTGTAATAATGTTTCACAATATTATTGTTTTACTGATGCTGAAAATTCAGCTTTGAAATCACAGGAATAAATTACATTTTACAGTATATTCAAATAGAAGACTATTTTAACGACTATTTATCTATCGACTAATTTATCGATTAATTTCCCACAAAAAAAATTCAACAATTTTAAAGAACATTTTCTTAAACTTGCAACTTTGCCGTTCAGTAGTGTACCATAAAAAAGTATAAATGTAAACAAGCCGTTGACGAAATGTAAAAATGTAAACAAACCTAATAAAAAGAAAATAATTACAAAAGTCTGAGAAAGTCAGCATGTTCTTAATGTCAATATATCCACATGTTCTGGGCTTCTGTTCATTACAGCTGTGAGTGCAACTACAAAGGGGGAAAA